TATCTATCTATCTATCTATCTATCTATCTATCTATCTATCTATCTATCTATCTATCTCTTTCTTTTACTGAAACATGGCACGCAGTACAATCTTTTAGCATATCTGTTTGCATTAAATGTTTTCATGAACCACAATAATTTCCTGACGTAGAGATCAACAGGAGGGGGGAATAAGAGGAACATACATTTCATCTATTTGTCTTCCACTAAATGAGGCTTTTTGTGATCCTGTGAGTCCATCACAAGAGTTACTTTGAGAACTCAAGACCTTCTTTCAAAATTAATATGCTTTATCACTGGTGTCATTATTGCCATGGCTGATATCACCCCCCCCCCCCTGTTCTAGTCATCTGTGATCACTCAGAATCAAAGATCTCGGGCGGGGGTGGGGGGAATACAACATAATTTAGACTTCCGCACCAGCCCAAAAGGTTTGTCAACCTCTGGTGTAAACTAAGGACCAGGCCTTCCTTGGGATTCAACAGGACAGTGGACTGGAATTGTTCTGGGTAAAACAAGATAGCTATGATCATTCAGACATGTCCTGGAAAAACACACAAACCGAGATGTACAGGCAGTCCTAAAAATGTTGAATACCTGCCAACCGCTTTGACAGGGGTGGACTATTCAATGTCAGAACAGTTGGAAGGGCCCCCAAAGGTCTTCTAGTCCAACCTCCTATGCAAGCAGAAGACCCTATACAATTTCTGGCAAAATGTTGTCCAGTCTCTTCTTAAAAAGCCTTCAATAACGGAGCACGCACAACTTCTGGAAGCAAGCCATTCCACTGATTAATTGTTCTCACCGTTAGGAAGTTTCTCCTTAGTTCTAGGTTATTTCTCTCCTTGATTAGTTTCCATTCATTGCTTTTTGTCCTGCCTTCTGGTGCTTTGGAAAATAAGCTGACTCCCTTCTTCTTTGTGGCAGCCCCTCAAATATTGGAACACTCCTATCACGTCTCCCCTGGACTTTCTCTTCACTAGACAAGCCATACCCAATTCCTGCAACCGTTCTTCATATGTTTCAGCCTCCTAAGCATCTTTGTTGCTCTTCTCTGCACTCTTTTCCAGATTCTCAACATCTTTTTTTTTAATACTGGGTTGACCAAAACCGCATGCAGTGTTCCAAGCCCTTTGGAGTGCATGTGGTCCCCACTTTAAATCCCAAAATTTGAGTTTCGACTCACCGTATTCCAGCAGATAAGGTGGTTGGTCTCGGGATCTTCAACCAGAGTCCACAACTTAGTAAGAAAGGCCGGCACATTGCTGGTGTAACCGTCCATCGCAAGGGCCGTGGTTGAGTCCTGCATGGTGTTGCGACTCACAAAAACGACTCTCTCACACCATCGTTGGTTTTTTTTGCAACAATGCCCCCCCTTCCTCTCTTTTGCATAGATCGGTGGGGGAAAAGAGCCACTTAGTGTCCTGAGCAGAGCTGAGAAAACACCCCTTTTCCCCATAGGGGTCCTATCAGCAGAGGCATTGGCTCAACTCCAAACACATCACAATATGCAGACACGGCTAATGGGGTGGGCATGACAATACTCTGAGCGAAAGCTCCCTGCTTTCAACTGCACAATGCCATGAAAAAAGATGCAACATCATGCAAAGAGAATACACGGGCTTGCACAAATACGGAGGTCAGCAAATCACTGGGGGGGGGGAGAGAGGAGGAGGAAACAGCAGCTACCTACTAGCTCACTCTTGTGTTTACACAACCGGCAGGAGAGAGGTGAAAATCAATCTGTGCGCTTAGCCCCTTCAGGCCGGCTGCTTAAGTTTTTCGTGAGCTTTCTGGATGCTTTGATAAAACCCCTGAAGGCATGGGTGACGTATTGGTAGCTACGCCCAGGAGCAATCGCATCATTAGGAGAGAAAAAACAGACTACCTGCGGAGTAAAGAAAGGACAGCCGTAGAAGATTTGTAGCTTAGGGTAGATATGAGGGTTCCTTGGTGCTCTCTGAGCCTGGTTGCTTTCTTGCGGACATTTCACTACCCCACTAGGTAACATCATCAGTGCTAGGAGTTTGGGAGGAGGAGGAGGAAGAGGAGGAGGAGGAGGATGGTGGCTCCTTGGGTCTCTCTGAGCTTGGTTGCTTTCTTGCAGACATTTCACTACCCAACTAGGTAACATCATCAGTGCTAGGAAGAGTGGAGTTTGGGAGGAGGAGGAGAATGGCTCCTTGGGTCTCTCTGAGCTTGGTTGTTTTCTTGCAGACATTTCACTACCCCACTAGGTAACATCATCAGTGATAGAAAGAGTGGAGGTTGCAAGGAAGAGGAGGAGGAGGAGGACCAGAGACGTAAGTTGTGGTCACTTGACCACAGAATGCTTCAACTGGTTGTAAAGGTGAGCCCCTTGCCAAGTGCCTGAAAAACTGCAGAGGGAGGCACAGGAATCAGGCCCTAAGTACCTTTTTGGGGAGTGGGGTGTTTATCTTATCATGAATGGTCGCTAAGCAACTGGTCATTAAGCAAGGACTACCTGAGCATCTCCAGAAAGAACTTGGGCTTCAATGCAACTAAAAACAGGATGCCAAAAACAACCCCATTTTGAAACAAGCAGTTTTTAAGGTCATGGAGAAACCATACGTCAGCACCAAAATCTAGAAATGCTCTGAAGCTACTTAAAACCTTGAGACAGTAGGCTCTGCATCTCTGACTTTAATTTAATATAACTTGGGACTTTTTTTTTGGTCTGGGCAAAGATTTAAGGGAACAGCAAGACCATTAGAAACTGATTGGTATATGCAAATCTTTATTGTGAACCACAAGTGACCATAGTGTTTGCCAAAGAACAAGAGTTAAGTATTAAAATCTGCAGCTGAATTAGAATGCAGAATGCAGAATAAACAAAATCCTTCATTGTCCCCAAGAATTCTGTGCTTTTCCTTCTGTGACGGACTGTGTATATAGAGAAATTATTATTATGATTATTATTTTTTAAAAAGCAAAGATCCTTCATGAACGTTACTGGATCGGCCGATTTATAAAATGGATCTGTCCCGCAATATCGGAATAAAAGAAAGCAATTTATTTTAAAAAGTCATTTAAATTTTAAAAATAAAAAAGCAATTCTATTTAAATTGCTGGCTCTCTGGGAATAAGGTGCATCGTACCCCTTTTATTGCTTCAGAACTGGGGAGATTCACCTGGCACCTGGCCCAAGTTAGGGACACAAGATTGGTAACATGGAAGAGAGGAGTACGCTGGACAGTGTGTGGTTTCTCAAATCAGGGCAGTGCGCGAGAAATGCATCCACCACGCCTTGGCTAACCACACAGTAACAATGAATCTCCTTCAGATGGCAACACTTTTTGGCCAACTCAATCAGGGAGGAGTTGAGAGCATTGGAAGGGGCAGTGTAAAGAATGAGTTTCTCCACCGTCTGGCTGTAATAGTTGGTGATCAACTGCAGCTGATCAGTCACGTTATGGAGGTAATTGAACTGCAGAGACTTCACGGGAATGCTGGGCTTGAGGATGCCGGGAATCTTGGTGCCGTCCACCATGGCAGCGAATTCAAACTTCACCCGGAACTGGGGGTATCTCTTGCTCACCATGGCCCAACATTCTTCGGGAATCTGCTTCTCCAGACCTTCGTACAAAACATCCAGACATTGGAGCGGCCATCGGTTGGGCTTCACCAGCTCTTGGAACAGTCCCGTCGATAGGATGGTGTAATAAAGTCCTAACACGGTAAGTTTCGGGCAGATCCGCACCACGTCCACGATGGCCTCAGGTTTTAGGATGATCACCCCAGGAGCACGGTTGTTGATCAGCAAGGTGCGAAGGTTTGGGCTGCTGTAAGCCAGGAGAAGCACCGTGTTGTTGTCCAGGATGAACGGCATCTGCCGGAGATCGACGTGTTGCAGATCGATCCTACTGTTGCGTTGGCACAACAGGCGGATGCTTTGCAGGAGATCTTGGCCAGAGTAGAAGTAAGGGCTCAACCCCTGGCAGACAATGTTCAGCGCCCGCAGCTTGACCCTCTTGAAGGCCAGCATGTCTAAGACCTGAGGGACGAGTCTTCGGTTTAGCTCCATGTACTGGTTCAGGACAATCTTCAGGTGTCTGATATGGATCAGGTAAGGCTGTAGCATCTTTATTACACAGGCTGCTTCCTTCTCCTCTTCAAAGTCAAAACTGAGAGGATGGTAGAAGGGGAAAGGGACAAAGAAACCTTGATGAGGGCACCTACTCTGTTTCTCTGAAAATAAGACCTCCCCCCCCCGATAATAAGCCCAATCAGGCTTTTGAGCGCATGCGCTAAAATAAGCCCTCCCCAAAAATATTGCAACACAGCAGCAGCCATGAGGTGACCATGCCTCCTGAACCTCAAAAATAATAAGACCTCCCCGGAAATAAGGCCAAGTGCTTATTTTGGTGATCAAAAGAAAATAAGACCCTGTCTTATTTTCAGGGAAACACAGTAGCAAGCTCCAAAACAGGACACTGGACGTTGTTTGCAACCTTGTTTACAGATTATCCTCGACTTTACAACCATTTGTTGTTTAGGGACCATTCAAAGTTAAAAGGGCACTGACTGCTGTTCACACTTACAACCGTTGCAGGATCCCCCTGGTCACGTAATCAAAATTTGGACACTCGGCAATTGGCATGTACTTATGACGGTTGCAGGGTCCCAAGGTATAGGAATAATGGATGGAAACTGAGCAAGGAAAGATTCAACCTGGAAATAAGGTTGCATTTCCTGACAGTGAGAACAATCAACCCATGGAACAGAAGTGGTCTTTGGAGGTTGTGGGAGCTTCATCACTGGATGCTTTCCAGAAGAGACTGGACTGCCATCTGTCAGAAATGATGTAGGATCTCCTGGTTGGGCAGGGGGTTAGACTAGATGACCTACAGGGTCCCTTTCAACTCTGTTAAACTGAATCTATCTCAGATGATCAAAGGCCTGGAGATTAAAACATATGATGAATGGTTGCAGGAACTGGGCATAGCTAGTCTAGTGAAGAGAAGGACCAGGGGAGACAGGATAGCAGTCTTCCAATATTTGAGAGATTGCCACAGAGAGGAGGA